ATCAGCGCCACCTCTGCAGGTCACAACCAACTCAGGTAAGTGCTCATCGGAAGGCAAGACACGCACACACACTCACGCTCACACTCACACACATAGACATACTCACACACACACACACACACACACACACACACACGAGAGAAAGGGAGAGAGAAAGAGAGAGAGAGAGAAAGAGCAGGCTCACTCAGGAAGAGAGAGAGAGAGAGAGAGCAGGCAGACGCTAAGAGAGAAGAACAGGGGCTGAGACAGACAGACAAAGGGGGAGAGAGAGTTCCAGTTTTAATTTTGCCACTCTTTTATTTATTTATTGTTTTTTTACTTATTCCTTTAATCTTATTTACTCTCTCCTATTGCTGAAGAGCGCTGCGTGCCGACGGGGCTAGACAAACCTTGAACTCGATTGCCCCCTTTTACCCTACTGGTCGCCGAGGACCTCGGAGCGGGCGCGGCGAAGTGACAGGCGCCGTAGCCCTTGGCTTCAGCGAACGGTAGGTAGCCCCCTCCCCGGGTTTCCTCACACCGTTCCCTCCACCTCCTCCCTCATTCGGCGCATCCAGCACACCGCCTCATTCCTCGCCCATCCATGTCACCCCTCTCCCCCCCCCGCACTCGCAAACCCTCTCCCAACCCATCATGACCACCTCCACCATCCCCACCACCCGTCCCACCTATTCCCAAGCCACCTCGGGGGTTTACCCCGCAATGCCACAACTCCCCCCCAACCACCTCCTTGAGGACAACAACCAAATCGACCACACCTGCTACGACATCACCCCCGATAACCTCAGCTTCAACACCCTCTCGCAGATCGTTCACCGCGACTAGGAAATCCCCCGTTCCTTCCGATCCGACGAAATCATGTCCTTCTCCGGCCTCCCCCACGAGAACGTTTTCCTCTTCCTTACCCAGCTCCAGAACTCTTTTCACCTCCACCACATGCCCCTTGCCCACTGGCTCCCCATTGCCACCTCCCGCCTCGTCGGCAATGCCGCCAAATGGTGGATGGCTAAAGTCAGCAACCGCCGAGCCTCTGGAGGACCACGTCACTCCTTCCTCCAATGGGCCAAACTTCTCGTTGCCACCTTCCGCCCCCAGAAAACCATTGACGACTACCTCGAACAATTCTGCCACCTCCGCCAAACCGGTCCCACAGACCGCTTCGTCCAATACATCCACTCCCTCCGCCATCACCTACCCACCACCATCATTCCCGACTTTGCGTTCATCTCCCGCATCAAGCGAGTATGCCACAAAGATCTTGCCACCGCCCTCGCCCACGAACCCGACATGCCCCTTGCTGACCTCCTCTCTCGCATGCTTCACCACAATCGACTCCTCCACCCCCATCACCAGTCCGCGCCCGCTCCCTCCCGCCTCCTCTTTTTCCATAACGACACCACTCAACCCACCTTCGATGACGACCTCGACACTGCCTCTCTCGACCCCTCCCAATTCACCATCGAGGACCTCCAGACCGCCCACCTTATACGGATGGAACGCCAGGATCGTGCCTCTCGACCGCCTTCTTCCTCTCCACCCCGCCGCCTTTAGAAACTCACACCCGCAGAACGCATATACCTCCAGGAACACAACGGGTGTTTTCGTTGCCACCAGTTAGGTCATCAACAGACCAACTGCCCCAACGCTAGCCACTTTACTCGACA